TATAGGTAGAGAGAGATGTTTGGCCCTGTTAGGCTAACATCTCATTCCTTCGGAACTTCGACTTTGTCAAAAGGGTGGTCGAGGTGGGTGTCCATTTTCAAGCAAGAAGCTTTACTAGGGTGGAGCCCATCGCTAGTAACAAGAAGCTACGTTCGGTTCGCGTCCTCTTGTTACGTTCTTATAGTAATGCCAGGAGTGCCTCCGCTACGAACTCGCGTCCGATCGCTCCGTTCGCTTCGCGTCCGATGGATGTTTACGCCCCAGTGCCTCGGAATTCATGTCCGAGAAGTTGTCTGGGCTTCGTTCCCTCTGTGCCTGCATTCATTTTTTACCGCCGCTGTGCCTTTCTGTGCCTTTCTTAGAAGAACTCGAAGTACAATGGCTTGTGCAAAGTATAGGTGAGGCTATTTCGTGAGAATCCATTGGGCTTCATCCAGTTTTTCCTTTTGACTTATTTCCGGACGTCGCAAAGGTGTTTGGGAATGATTCAAAAACTCAACATGATCACAAACCAACTCACTTATAAACAAGAAACAATCCACTGCAATTGGCGGATAGATCTGCACTCCAACCTCTTCACCACCCAAATCAACATGGATTCCATCATACTAGCGATGGCCTCCAACCTATTAGCGGTGGCCTTATTGACTATAAGAGCGACCTTGCTACTAGCGATGGCCTCCACCCTACTAGTAGCGATGCACTTGTTCCTAGTAGCGTTCTTGTTACTACTAGTAAGGCACTTGTTACTAGTAGCGATGCACTTGTTTCTAGTAGCGACGGCCTCCACCCTAGCGACGGCCTGGACCTTCTTCTTCACTCGTACTTTGACTTTCTTGGGCTTCACGTCTTCTGGCATTGCGAGTTCGCGAGCGAATGAGAAGAGCCAGTTTTCCTCAGTCCTTCACAGTCCTCGCGTGGTACTATTAATATATTACATTACTATTAACAACTCTATTAACATTATATCGTAGTTTATTGTATTAATCTTATAGCTTTTTTTAGACCTTATAGTAAATATTATTCATCACGGCTTTCGGAATCGACAAAAAACACATCCTCCAATCAAGTGAACACATGTGAACACCATTGTTCCAATGGACTATATATATAATTATATATATTTGTTTCTACTGATATCTACTACTGACCCTAAAGTTCATTACTACATCTGTTCATTCTTGCGAAACAATCACCAGCACCACTTGGACCTCCACATGTGACGCAACACTCGCTTCGGGATGGACGAACGCGCATGGAGCCTGAAAGATCCGAGAAGTCTTGAGCTTGTTCGACGGCCTGGGAACGGAACGGACGAGAGACACAGCTTTGCGCGACGCGATACTGTTCGTGTGCTTTCGCGATACTCGGGAAGGAAGGGACAGGAGGACAGGACGCGGCTGGTGTCCGATGAAAATCTTCCAAAAACCGTCTACTGATCAGTTCGAAAACGTCGTTCCATACTTTCAACTCAACTTAGCTGATGTGTAATGGGTGATCTTCCAACCGGACAAGGGTTCCGAAGTGAAGCGCCTTCTGTTTCCTCTTCGCCTTCTTCTTATCTTCACCTTAGAGCGTCACATGCCAAGATGATCGGCAGGCTCATCACCAACATCACGTACATTCTTCCCGATGCTTTGGTATCAGCACGCCGATGCTTTGGCCATAGGACTGTGTAAAAATTGATTTGTGTCCAAACGTTTCGATAAGATCTGAGAAGAATCTGGAGGTTGAAAGGATACCCAGCAAACTTTCCTTCCCTGCATTTTTGCTTTTCTTTTGGTCTTGCAAGCTCTTCGCAGCTGTCAGTACTGAGGACTCAGTAATGGCCTGATGCCATACCTGATTCGGAAGAAACAAATCATCTCTAACCGTCGCTACTAGGTTGGAGGCCAACGCTCTTAGGTTGGAGGCCAACGCTCTTAGGTTTGAGGCCATCGCTACTAGGTTTGAGGCCATCGCTAGTAGGTTTGAGGCCATCGCTCTTAGGTTGGAGGCCATCGCTAGTAGGTTTGAGGCCATCGCTAGTAGGTTGGAGACCATCGCTCTTGGGTTGGAGGCCATCGCTATTAGGTTGGAGGCCATCGCTAGCAGGTTGGAGGTTATCGCTCTTTGGTTGGAGGCTATCGCTAGTATGTTTGAGGCCATGGCTACTAGGTTGGAGGCCATCGCTCTTAGGTTGGAGGCCATTGCTAGTAGGTTTGAGGCCATCGCTAGTGGGTTTGAGGCCATCGTTACTAGGTTGGAGGCCATCTGGTTAGGTTGGATGCCATCGCTAGTAGGTTTGAGGCCATCGCTAGTAGGTTGGAGGCCATCGCTATTGCTTGAAGACTGAAGGATGGATACTTGTTTGAAGCACGTAGAACCCATGATCCACCAATTAGGTAGGTCTTTGAACACGGCTCCACTTGGCAAGCTGGCAAGACTGAGTGCGGGTGAGATTATCTCCCAACCTCCAAAATCCTTGATTCGCTCGCGCTTATGGAGCACAGTTTTCAGTGAGGCGGTCATGTACGAATGGTCAAAAAAATTGTCAAAAGGGTATTTTGAATGTGGTGCTACTTCCACAAGCTGATGCAGTCGTCATGTCGAACATGTCCAAGTTCAATCATTCTTGAGCAGCGGTGACACGAACAGCTCTTGCATGTGCAAGTATTGGTCATATTTTGTCATGGTAGATCTACAAAACTCATGTGGAGTCGTTTGGAGTTGGGAAGGTAGGATCTATGACAAATGAATTGTGAGATCCTGTGAAACGATGAGATCTATTCTCTCTGTGCTAACGCCGGCAAAGCTTGTATCACCCAAATACCTACAGGCAGGTCAGATCTATACCTAGTGAAACTGACAGTCTTGGAAACAGGCAGCCTTCTTAAGCACTAGAAAAAAAACACCTTTAGTCATTTGAGCTTGACCAACTAATTGCCGGGACGGTCTTTGAACACCAAGCACCTTTCAAATGCAAACATGCTGTAAAACCATGTACTGGAATCTCGACCAACCAACCCACCGACCGACCGACTAAGTAGCTAAGTAGCACAACGTACGGGGGGGGGTTGTTATACATGATTAAGGGGTGGGCCTCTAAGTAGCTTTCTTTCGATCCAACTACCTAACTAACTTCTTGACTAACTACTTAACTGACTGATTGACTGACTGACTCACTGACTGACTCACTGACTGACTGACTCACTGACTCACGAACTAACATTAACTAACCAGACTCTGGCACATGACAAATGGTGATCTGAGCTCTGTCTGCTTGGACGAGTCTCATGGGAATCATTCACCCTTTCAGGGATCCTCCTCAGGTGGCTCCTCATCGGGATATTCAGGACCTGTGATGGCCGGACCCACTCGACGCCGGACCCACGGCGTGGGTGGGTGAGAAGCGATGGAAAACAGTTCTTGAAGTTCCCTCTGGAACAGGGGGGGAATGATGTTTCACTGTCCAACAAGCCATGAAACAACGAGACAACCGAATTGACCCCGCAAGCCGCAAGACTGTGCAAATTGCTAGCTCAACTGTCTGAGACTATCTCAGGAAGGAAGGCCTCATATGCATCCCAGATGAGCATGACATCGCGATCCAGTCACATCAAAGATAGCCGTTTGTGTTTCTCATCTCTATGTTATGCAAATCTTGTTCTTATAGCGTGGTTTTCTCAGTTGGGAGACAGTCCGAAAGTTTTCCGTGCTTTCGACCGCGTAAGTCTCTTTGCGATTTGGCACGCGGATGTTGCACCGGGACCCGCCTGTGCTCAACTTGGGCGAGGGAAGGTTGGGCATGCTGGCCTCAGTGAGCTTGTCACTGGCAAGAACAAAGGATAGAGAAGTAGGATAGCTGCACATCATTTTTTTCCAAGAATATGCGATTGTGATTAAATGGAATTGACTAGAAAGAAACAACAATTTTGCCTTGGTAGTGTGCAAATATTGACCCAATGGCAGCTCAGCTCAAAAGCACAGTATGTTCTGGATGCTTCTAAGATAGTCTGGCATTGTGTTCTTGGCAGCCCTCCTCTCAAACCTGCATCTTCCGACAAAAAATAAGGAAATCCTCGTTGCTCTGCTGGATGCATCCCCATACCTCCTGCCTTGCAATATCTTACACCTCCACATTATCCATTTCCTTAACCAAAATACATCAAAATACCCTAGGCATTCAGAGCAACCCCTACTAGAAACAGCAAGCTTGCTTTCTTAGAAGATCTGTTCTTTCGATTATGTCTTTTCTTCTTCTTCTGCTTCTGCTTCTTCTTCTTCTTTCTCTTCACCCCTTCTTGATACAATCCTTTGTTTCTTCCTAGCTCGAAAACGGCCGTTCTGAGACTTCCGAGCGCTCATCTCTCCTCGCTCCCGGGCGTATTTGCTCCGCCGCGCATCCACGCTACGCTTCATCGACTGGGCGGGCGAGAAAGGGCAGCCGGCCCGGGCCGGCCCGGGGGAGATGGAGCCTCTCTTCTCAAAGCTCCTTGTTTAGAAGGGGAATGTTCAGCTACCTTTCTGGCGAGTCACCATGAAAAACATGGGTTGATAGAAGGATAACACACTCGCAAGAATGAAGTGTATGTTCTTCGTTCTTCATGCTTGTCCTCCAGACAAAGCTAGACTGTGCACAGAATCTGCTTCGGTATTCAGGGATGCCAAAGCATTACGTCGATGCTCCTGCCAAGTCGACACACCTGTTCTGCATGTGGTGAGTTGAAATAACTATCTGATCAACATCAAGCAGTGTGCCAGCCCGTTTGAAGAGAACCCTTGAATCAATGAATGCAAACTGACTAATCACTCCCCTTGACACGCAGGTCAACATGACTGAGAACAATTAAAACAGGAAACACGAAACACACGGCTATGACACAGCATGAATTCTCTGATTTCAATCATACCAACAAAGGTTGCAAAACCCTATAGACTATCCCATAGGTATACCCAGGGTGCTATGAGGTCACTTAACCTCTCTTGGTAGTGCATCTGTCAATCCTGCGACGCATCTGTCAACTCACTTGACCGAGGACAGGCCGGGCCTCTCTCTTTCGACGATCTTCATCTCTAATCCGCATGATGTCGTCGTCATACTCCCCAGCCATGCGCATGGTGTGCGAAGCATTGATGATCTGCATCGAACATGACACGAAGACACAATGTCAAACTGGACTTAGTGACTTAGTCGAAGGGATAGAATCAGGCAATGTGAACGAATTTTTGCATGAAATGAGATATCCATGTCCCAGATGATGATCAAAACCTTCAAGAAATCCAAAAGAAGCAACTTGTGCAGCATGTTATTTCGTACGTGCGAAAAAAATACGTGACACGTGACCCCGAGACCATCTAACCTCAAAATATGTTACCAAAAGATCTCTTGCATCACAATGAAGTGTGAGAAGATGTGTCTGCTTTCAAGCAAGGGTAGAAAGTGCTGAGCTTCTGACATAGCGCTTCCGCATGCGATCCCATCTCATCATGTCAGAGGTCCTGACTCGCTTCCCGCAACATGAAGCGGAGGATGTTGCCGGTGGGTGTTGATGCAGGGCGGATTAATCAATGGGAAATCCGTAACATGTACCACGACTCAAATGCAGCAGTCCTATGCCTTTTCGCCCTGTTTGAACCAAATCAGTCGAAAAAAGCAGAAAGACATCGGCGTGACTCTGCCCATCAAGCCCTCTGTATGTGTGGAACATGAGCCATATGATCTGTATTCTGCATATGTCACCAGTCCTAACTAACCACTATACATGCTGGCACCTACTAACAAATCCCCATCACCTCCCTTCCAAACCTCGATGCCCAAATCCAAACATCGATAACCTCTGACCCCACGATACCCCACGTCCGCCCATTCGGGCCGTTCCTGCCTCACGACCGGTTGACATGTCTCGATGTTCTGCAGCAGCTGATGGTTCTCCTTCATGATCCGATAAATCTCCTCCCGCTCCAGAGCGGCCGCGGAAGTAGCGCGCGCGGTCGGGCGCGCAGTCTGGTCTGGTCTGCCCCAAAGAAAGAGCCGAGCCGCCTCCAATTACCAACTCACCACACGAAGGAAAGGGCTTTTGAAGAGAGTCCCCCTTGGAAAATAAGGATCACAAAGACATCGTAGCAATTCCTTCTAACGCATCAACATCTTGCAGTGGAGCAATGCCTCAGAGTCCAATGTAATAAGCCTGAGACTATGAGATCCATGGCATCCATGGCATCAGGTTATGCACGGCCACGCATGGATACGCAGCTACGGCGGTGGGCCAACCCCAGGGCCCCTGTTGCCCAGCCTGCTTACGGCCATCGGCATTGAGGCTGACTGGCCCTTTCCTGCGAACGTGCGAGGCCGCCGCTAAGCAGCTGTGCGAAGGAGAATCTGCCACGAAGACCAGCAAACTTGCTACGTTCGTAGCTTCTTGTTACTAGTAGTAATGCCCTTGTTACTAGTAGCTTCTTGTTACACGCATAGAGCGTTTGCTCAAATCCGTAGCTTCTTCCGTCCGACAGCGGGTGACATCAAACGGTTGTTGGTCCTCTCAGGGACCTTGATGTCCCTCGTCATGATTTTTGCGATCGACTGGATCATCTTGAGATCACCTCAACAGCAACGAGCGAATTGAGCGAATCCATGAAGATTCACATGGTCCTATCCTCGGCTTATGATCTGCATGTCTTCCAGATTGTGGCTGTGGACTCGATTTTCTTTGTCCTTCGTGTGATTTGAAAGCAGATCGCAAGATGCTCAAGATCCTTGTGGTAGCAAACGGCTGCTTGCCCCTGTCACACCATTGATCAAAAGCTGCTGTTTCATGTCATGAGCCAAGCTTCCACAGATTATGCTGGACAGGCTCATAAAGAAAGAGCCAAGTTTCCACCATATGCTGTTGGGCCCCTGAATTCTTGGTAGTTGAGCAAAAACACAGCCTTTCCAACCCTTTAAGCGTTAAACTCTAACCTGCAAAGCTTTGTGGGTCTGTCGGAGGAAAAACTGATTATATGATTATATGCTTATGTGATTATAAACATGAACAGATAATTACAAAATATTACAAATATAGCTTATTGCTACTAAAGCAGACTAAACTATTAGCGGTGGCCTCCAACCTAGTAGCGATGGCCTCCAATCTAATTGGATTATATATATATATGGGTGCAAGTCAAAACCTCACCTACAAACCATGGGTTCGGTTGACATCCCTCAAACAAAAGAAACAAGAATCTGTTGTTTAGGACGCCGGGGTGGTCAACTAACTCACGTCCCCTGGTGACTCACAGCCATGCACTCCCTGGAACTCAGAAGTGGTTACGTGGACGTCCTGGCCTCGACTGGAAGACCAATGGTCTTCCACAGACCAAACAGGTGCCATCCTGTTTGTTGTTTGGTTTTGTGTGTTTGGGCTCTGTTCTTTCCCTGGCTCGTATCTTCTCAGTAACCCTATTTAATTCAATCAAGGTGACTTGTGTTAATTCCAGGGAGAGGTTCGGTCGTGTTTCGCTTCGCCCGTCGTGCCGTTCAACTCCCGTGCGGCCAGGCTACTGAAGGCCGCTTCGGTGGTCGCGCGCTTCTTGGCGGCGTAGTCACGGCCGTAGAGCTGTAGATGTGGCATCGGAGCCTCTGTTTCCACATGTGCCACTTGAGACCAACGGAATTCGACTCAAAACATGTGGAGTTTTAGAATCAGAATCATAACGTATAATAAACAATATATCAAACTGTCATAGATTGTCATAGCATGACTACAAGGAATTTGACTCCCCTCCCTGACAGTTCTCGGGTTCTGACTTGGTGATTCCGGTCGAGTTCCGAGTTCTGAGTCGAACCCGACGGCGGCGGCCCACGGCGGCCCACGCTCTGTCAACGCTCGGTCAACCCCATGTCTCCCGTGCTTCAAGAGGCGGGAGCACGGGTATCGATGGCTGAGCGCATGTTCTCTAAACGCTGTCGGTGCATCAGCTGGGTCCTACACGCGTCAGCAAACTGAAGGTCATGGGCTCCCGAATGCGGGGCGCCCACCAAAACATTAATACTACTTCCGGAAGGTTAACATGGAACCTGAAAACTACTGGGTTGTAAAGGAAAATAGTCTTCCAAGGGTCCATTCTCAGGTTCCATGTTAATCTTCGGGAGTGTACTACTTCCGGACTCCAACTAGTTTAGGAATCTCTACTGCCACATTCTTCCACCCAGCCATCCATCTGTAAAGACATCGTCTTGAAATGTCTTGAACATGCCCCAAAAAATCAAACAACTTTGAACAACGTGCTGTCCTCATGAGCTCTCGCCGTCCAATGGCCGCGTTACCATGCGTCGTATCTGTACGACGATTCATGACACCTCGGCTGAAGATCTATATATGCTCTAGACGAATAGATGGCTGTTGGACCTCCAACCTAATAGCAATGGCCTCCACCCTAGTTGCGATGGCCTGCAACCTGATAGCAATGGCCTCCAACCTACTGGCGATGGCCTCCAACCTACCTAGACGACTGGATGGCTGATGAGTGGTTGCTGATCCACTAAAGGCTTCTTTGGAGTCTAGGTATCCGAGTAGTCTTTTTGCATGATCCATGTGTGTTTTACAAAGAGCCATCCTTCGAAACGAAGATTGGAATATCCAACTTGTTTTAAACAGGATCCACCTAAGCTAGAATAGTCACCAAGGAGTGGGATTTATCACAGGGAATAGAACATGCTTTCGAAGCTGATGAGTGTGAAGTCTCAAACGAAGAAATGCGGATGTCGAGTTGACGTCTCGTTCCCCAAGCAGGGCCGATTCGGACGATGGCTTTTGCACATCGCCCAAGGAACTGCCGGTGCGAGCGTGTCCACGCGCCGGACACACGCCGGAATGGTTGCTCACAGTGATCCGTACGGTTGCTTTTGGATGTGTGAGCTGTGGGTAAAAAGACCAGTGGTCAGTGGCTTGTTGATCGTTGTCTCCCTGAAATGACTTCCCTCCCGTTCTTCTCTGCGAGCCAAAAGGAAAGAGACAGACTACAGTGTGCGGAATCCGCGCAACCGCCTTACATGCGGAAAAAAGAAGACAAACCGCACCGTGAGGCCATCGCGGCCATTCTGTTGGTAAAATATGGGAAAGCTGCCATCGCTAGTAGGTTGGAGGCCATCGCTCTAACAAAAGCCATGTTCCGAGATCGCAAGACGTGAACACATCTGTTGCCGTACTACACTTTGCTTGAACTAGGAGCAAGAAGCTACGTTCGGGGCTCCTGGCCTCGCTACTAGGAGCATCCTTACTTGTTTCTTGATGACCAAATCTCCAATACTAAGCTTCACCGCACCCTTCAGCGGTGTCACGTCACTCCGGGTCGCCCACCAGAGGCATCTGACCTGGTGAGGAGTGCACAGCCTGGCCTCCATCCTACTAGCAATGGCCTACAACCTTAATAGCAATGGCCTCCAACACAGTCGAAAAGTTGGTATAGAGCCCCAACTGACGCTTCCCAAGGCTTAGCCCAAAACCCAAAGGGTTGGAGCTTTTGCGACAACTAGCAGCAAGGATGCCATTAGGAACAAACGGCATCGCCACGAACGGAGCAATGACGCGGCTAGGGGCGCTCCACGCTATTAGGTGGCCATCGCTAGTAGGGTGGAGGCCATCGCTACTAGCAACAAGAAGCCACTATAGTAACAATATAGTAATAATGATGCCTTCGGGTGATTTGTCATCTTTGTGCCCCACCATCGATGTGCCTAACTTAAACACTCTGGATCATACAAAAACCGAACTGAGTTCATCTACCATCATCTACCACTCCTTCAACTCATCGAAAAACAAACACGTGAAGCAGCCGGAATGGTTCAAATCGTGCCATGTCGTGCCATGTCGTGATCCGCTGGGTGCCTGTCTTTGTCCTTCTCTTTACCCTCCTTTTTGGACTTTTTCTTTCTGTGTCGATCATCGCCGATCCAAACCTTGGTAACCAAAGTGCAAAGACCGAATTCGACTTAGCGAGAAGAATTAGAGAACCGATTGAAAGTGCTCCAATTTCTGAGATTAAAGCATAGAAGACCTTCTGGATGGTACATCTTCGTTCATCCAAAGACCATTCCTTGCGTTTTCAGGGCAACGTGCGAAAGTGGAGAGCCACCAAGGCGGCCAAAGCCTTTCCCAAAAGACATTCAAGATGCCATATGGCCTATAAGGATACACATGGATACATGACCAGCAATGGCCTCCAACCTAGTAGCGATGGCCTCCAACCTACTAGTGATGGCCCCCAACCTACTAGCGATGGTCTCCATCCTACTAGCGATGGCCTCCACGACCATTTCCTCATATCAATTTCCTCGCCTGCGATTTGAAATCCTTCAAGCCCTCAGGTGTTATGACTTTCTGCTCGATGACAAATTTTGCAAACCTTGGTGTGAAGACATCGCCTTCGACGTCATCTTACAACAGCGTGTGCTTTTGATCGGTTTTGTGTGGAACACATGCAGGTTTGCTGCAACGGTTGGCTGTCTCATTTCTGAAACGTGTTGACAACGATGATATCTTTTTGGATGGATTTTTGTTGGCAAAAAAAGGACACCGTTTCTTCAGCCAGTGAACGACATCCTGCTGAGCCTGTGACTGACAACGCGCTTTGGCGGCCACATCTTCCGGTGCTTGCTCGAATTCAATCTGCGAGCTGTGGTGAATTCATGATGTCCATGGGCCGCTGTTCTTTCAACACAACACATGTCCATCATACGTACGGACATAACCCACTTTCAAAGTGTTTAAAGAAGAAAAAGCTGGCTTAACATGGCTTTTGTAAAAAAGAAAGGAAGAGACAGGAACAACAAACCCAAAGCGTCTCGCACCCTGGCACGGACTCGGTGGTTCATGAATTCGAACAAGACTTCCAACAGATTGGCTTCGTGCTTCGGCCCATGAGCGATTCGCTGGTCTCTGCGATTCAGTACCAAAGATACGCGACCTCCACCACCGTGGTTCCCTCAGGCAGGTTATGTGCCTGAACCTTGGAGCGTCGCCGACGTCGGAATCGGTCGTAGCGATGCACCGTCTGTTACGTAGCGATGGCGATGGCCTCCACCGTGCGTAGCGAACCTTGTTACTATACTAGTAAGGCACCTGTTACTAATAGCGTGGCACCTGTTACTAGTAGCGAACCTTGCGACGAGCTCGAAAAGGAGACACCGAGCTCCCAAATTCTGAGAAGGACATGGACGAAGCTCTTGGTCGACGATCTCCGACCTCCGAGTTCGTGGCCACCACCTTCGGTTTGGACACAGGAAGCATCCGAGTGTTCTAAGTGTGGAACTGATTGGAAGTAGTGGTCACTGGTGCACCTCACAATGCACCCTTCCCACGTTTGCAAGGAGACAAATCAATGTGCGGGACCTCCTCCTTTCAGATATATGCGGGACATACTCAACCTTGACTGTGAATGCCACCTCATGACTTTTTTGCTGGGAGTGTGTAAGTAAAACTCGCTCCTCTGACCACTCTGATGACCAACATGTTAGAGTTGATGCCTTTTCCTTTGAGGCAAAGAACAACTGTACGCTTCGTTCAAGGCATCTGTTCACACTTCTACCGCTTGTGTCGCCGGCACAACAAGTAGTACCCGTTGTCTTCGCTCGCTCGCAGCGTCCGGTCCACCAGTTGTGGTGTCTGGGTTCCTCACTTGACCAGCAGAATATGTCCACCTTTGTTGCCTTCGCTAATCGACTTCAGGTCCTTGCTCAACCTCGCGAAGGACCGAACCGGACCGAACTCGGTTGGGAGAAGGCCGCCCAACCACCCAAGTGGATGCGTTGAAGTGATTGGATGCGTTGAAGTGGGATTGCGTTGTCAAGCTGCGACATGCAGCTGCGTTGTCAAGTTCCCTGAAAACACGTGGTCAAAGGGTCAAAACTTGCCGTCTGTAGTGTGAAAGTGGGCCGAGCATGTTTCGCAGGATAGCACACAAGGAAAGATAGAAGGATTCCAGAAATGGCTTGGGGAGCGTTTGTGTTGTGAGTCTGCGGAAAAACCGGCTAACTTCCAGATTGAAATTGATGCTGTTCGCTGAACGAACCACAAAAAAAAAGATGTTGGGTTCAGGCACATGCTTTTTCACTGACCAAAACTTAACTACAAAATTCCTGTCTACGTCCCCAGGGTCGGGTCGGGTAGTCAGTGGCTTCCTCAAGGGTGGGAGAAGGCGTCCTTCCGTCGCCCGAGAGTCGCGGACTTTTGACGAGCCAGCTCCGGTCCTATAAACACTTGCGCGGTCGTTCACTGTACAAGCAAAATCCAGCGCAGGACGCCACACCGATGCGAAGTAGCACTTACCAAACTGATGGGAGGTCGCATGTGGCTGAACAGTGACGTTTTTGGTTTACAACACAATGAAGGGAAACACCATGCCATAAAAGCCTTAGATATATTGCTCGACAAAGCATGGACACCTGTCCTGCCTAGATCAACAGTCCGAAAAACACGTTGATCAACACTCAGTTCCTCCACATCGGACTGTTCCTCCACATCGGCAGGGACACGCTGCACGTCCGCACGAATTGATTCACACGAACCTCCGAAACATCCAAATAGTTTCTTGCTACTAGGAGCGTCCTTGTTCCTAGTAGTAAGGCCAGGAGCCCCTAGTAGCGTCCTTGCTCCTGGTAGTGATTTTAGAGCGATTTGTAGCTGAATACTTTACCTTCACAACGAGGTTGGATAGCCAGGCAGCCTGCTATGATTGCTATGGCTGATCAAATGAAGGCCCAAAAAACTGTCAATTCAGAGATCAGCGTGCTAGTTCATCTGCATCTTTGCTTTGCCGCATGGTTTGACAGTTTATCTTGCCCCACGGTGGAACAACATGGTATAGCATAATATGAGTGTAGCTTGAAGAAGGATTTGCACGATTGGGCTTTTGGAAGGCTGGTTCAACCGGCCGACATTTACACCGACGGCAAATGCAGTAACGGCTGGACTATCT